GAGTTTGAGGCCAGCCTGGGCGAGATCCTATTTAAAAAAAGAAAGGGAGTCGCTACTCCCATTTCCTGCATGGGGGGAGGAAATGTTTTTTCTCTTTTTTCCTCATTTCTCTCCACTTTTATCTTATTATAGTAAATTTCTTTCCTAATAAACTTTATTATTTAAAAGAAGAACAAGGAAAGAAGGGAGGGGGAGAGGAAAGGAAGGAAGGAAAGAATGAAAGGAAGGAAGGAAGGAAAGAAGGAAGGAAGGAGAAAAAAACTTAAAACAAAGCAAAACATCACATTAAAAAAAAGAGGCAGGGCTTTGTGGTGCACGCCTGTGATTCTGGCTACTAGGAGGGAGGAGATGCCATCTGAGGCTGGGCTGGGGCAAGAAGTGTAAGATTCTGTTTCAGAACTAACTAAAGCAAAAAGGGTTGGGGTTTGGCTCAATGGCAGAGGGCATAAGGCTCTGAGTTCAAGCCCCAGTACTGCAAAAGAAAAATCTTTTATCAATCACCTTTTAACTTCTGTATCACCTCTTAAACTCTGTAACAAAAAATTATCATAAACTTAAACTGTTTTATGTCATTAAGTATTTTAAAAGGTCTGACCTAATAAACATTATAATTGTTATTATGATTGATGAGATAGTTAATTTAATTAAATGAAAAGTAAAAGTTATTTCAATCCAACGAATGGGGCTATTTTCTTTCCATTTAGAGAGCACATCTCAACACCAAGGTGCCAGGCATGGTAGGCAAGTGCTCTACCACTGAGTTATACTCCCAGCCCAGGGCATAGATCCTGGATGGAATTTTGTTTTCTGCTGGAATGAGAGAGCACTGAGGATCAATGGTGTTCCTGTTTCTCATTTCTATAGAAATAATCCCCAAGAAAATGCATTCACATAGACAAATGGAACAGGAGGGGGAGAAATTTTATTATAGCAATGCCACTCCTTTTATGAATTCTTCCCCAAGTTATTTGTCAAAATCCTCTCACCTTTGTTGAAACATGATTTGGAAACCTTCTGACTTGCAAAAGTGTTTGTCACTAAAATGTTCACTTTCTCATTTTACAAGAAGCATACCCAGAAAAGGCTTTACCAGAAAAGGCTTTACCCTGTCAGCTCCAGGGCTGGCAAATATACCTGTGCTGACTGTGTACGCAGTCAAGGCAGTGTTCATGCTGACTTCATGTGAGCAGCATGAGCTGGAATGAAGCAGTGCCCAACCTACACAGCTGTATGTGGTAGCCTTAAAATTCATACCTATTTTTTTTTAACCAGTAGCAACCTGTTTAACCTAGTATGTAAATGAATCATACAAAATTTTCTGTCCATACCTATCATCTACACACATTGATGACAATATTGCAATTAGAATATCAAACAGGTAACAGCAGGGTTGTTCTTAGTGGGGAGATAAACTGATAAGGGAGTAATAATAAAATAAATTATATTTGGAAACCAGGCGTGCTTATTTATTTATTTATTTACAGTTGGCCGTACTGGAGTTTGAACTCAGGGCTTCACTCCATTTTACGCTCTATCACTTAGGCCACACCCTGATTGGGCGTCCTTTGCAAGGTCAAGTGGAATGCGAGCCATTGTCCTCCTGACAAGCTAGGTCTCATTTCTGTGGTGGCCTTTTACTTCTCCAAGTTTAGACTTGCAAACAGCACTGAAGTGTTTTCTTGAGCAGTGTCATTAATTTATGTAACTGGTGAATGCTAACCATGTTTCTGAGTACATTAAGCCTACCAGCTTTTGCAGGGTTCTTTTTAATAAAGCATGGTATAAGGAGGAACCCCTGTCTGACCTGCTGCTCTTGGCAAGGTGAAGCAGACTAACACTGCTATAAACATCTAAGCAATAATTCACAAGCAGGGAACGCCTCGTACTGGAAGCAAAAGTTTTGTTTTGTTTTTTTGAGACAGGATCTCATTTTGGAGTCCAGGCTGACCTCAAACACATGATCCTCCTGCCTCAGCTTCCCAAATGTTGGGGTTACAGGCTACCGATGCCATGCCCAGGTTGGAAGCAAAAGCTTTAATTGGTCCATGCAACAATTTGAAATAACTCTGGGCAATAATATTGTAAATTTTATTCAAGAATCATTAATTGTATACAGTATTGTTATGATGCTAGAAGCTCCTACCATAAGTTAGGTGGAATGTTTAATATTTTTATGCATCAGATTTGGCATGTAGCAACTAAAGCCACCTTTATGCTTCCGTGACAAAAATAGAAAGAATGTCCCATCTTCACTCAGTCACAATCGTGCCCCTGAATGCCAACACTGATAGTAGCATCCCTAACAGTTGTAAAAGGACCAACTATATATCTACAATTACAATTTTACAATTAACTAGAGTTCATCAATTTTGCAGTGCTCTACCACTGAGCTACACCCCTAACCCCAGAGTCGACGAAGTACTGATTCCCAAAATAAGGTTGCAATGGAGAATTAAGTGTAAATATCTTTTCATTACAATAGCTAACATTTATATACCTTGTCCTGAGTGCTTCCACATTCGTAACTTTTGTCTTTCTCATAACCTTCTGTGAGGTTGAAAAGGTATCGACATTGCCTGTGTAACTGAAGGGTAGTGACTTGCTCAAGGTTATAAGTTACATAAGTGGCAGAGATGACCCTTAGGCCCAAACCTGAATTTCCTTTGCTTTCCTTTTGTACTACTTAATTGTTGACCAGATGTTGGGATGTTAAACTTTTCATTTTTTGTCCATTATTTACCTGCTGATCTTGATTTGAATGCAGATTCTTGGGTTAGTACCCCCGAAAAGTCTAGGGTGGAGGCTGCAAGGCTCTACATAACGAGCAAACCAGGTAATTCAATTAAGATGGTCTCATATGTGGAATTAAACTAAAACCACCCAAAGGAGAACAAACATGCTGTTTATTCCAAGCTCACTATAACAAGAGAGTCATTCATCCTCACTTGTCTTTGGCAGAGGCCCAAAGGCAGGCAGGGAAGTGAGAAGACTATAAAAATGGAAGAGAGGGAGAGGGAGAGGCTCGCTAGGTATGCTTTGATTGGAGGTAGCATGGAAAAGCAAGGCATGGGCTAGGAGCAGGGCTATTTTATGTGATTGCATGGAGAACATATTTGACTTTCTCTGGTTGGTATAAAACAGAAGCTGGCAGTAGTTGCCCTCCTCCTGATTGTTCTGGGCCACTTGCAGCAGAGGTTGTGGTTGGGCTTTCTGGGCTTCTTAGGTAGTTCAGAGTTCTGCTATCATGTAGGGTCTGCCGATTGTCCATTAGTATGTTCTGCCTCTCAGGCCATACTGTGAAAGTAATTTTTTTTTTTTTTGGTGGAGCTGGAATTTGAACTCAGTTTGCAAAGCAGGCACTCCACCACTTGAGCCTCACCTCCTCAGGCCATACTTTGAGAAACACTAGTCCTCTGCAGGTGCTCCATCCTGCCCTCCTTTTCCTGGGAAGGTGGCTGGACCGTGAGATCCATGAGAGCTGTGCGCCATCTTTCAACACTCTTCTCAGTTCCCATCCCGTCACGTGCTCATAAAGCACTTAACATCTTGCTAATGAATGATAAATGAGAATAGTTGATATTGGCTCTTGTTGGAAGAAGAAAATGAACTTTCTTTATGTGAACCCACTGGCTGTCACGAGCAGGCTGGAAGCTGCTCCTTCCAGCTACTTGTGTTCTAACACAGTAACCTGAATCCTAGCCCTGGGCTTGGCGTTGGTCCTGGCTGCCTCCAGTTTTTCGCAAAGTTTGGATTAGCTGACCGTGATGTGTAATCAGCCCCAGGCTCCGTCCTGAGTGCTCCCTTGGCGGTGGGATGGCATTTGAGCGAGAGAGGAGGCTACTTCTGGCAGGTTGAAGGCAACTCCATTCCAGACCTTTAATTTTGCCGCGTCCTCTGCTCACTTCGTCTCTCCCTGTTCCCACCATTAGGGCCTGGGCTGGTGAGAGGTACAGAGGGAGACAAAAGGAGCAGGCACACTCACGTGGGGTGTTAACTCGGGATTCAGTTTATCCAAGCGAAGGCGTTGGAAAGTGTGCTCGAGGGGTCGCCGCAGCCGGGAGAGGGGCTGGGGCTCCCGGGCAGGGTCCTGGGTGCCGTCCCACCCGCGGGACGGGCGCGGGGCAGGCGGGCTGGAGTTCCCGCGTCCAGGCCGAGCGGGGGGCTGTCCGGGAGGAGGCGGGGGAGCAGCCGGGGACCAAAATAGGAGCCGCCGTGGGCTGGCGCTGCACCAGCAGGCGGCCTCCGCCGCCGCGCTGCGCTTCCAAAGATGGTCAGAGGGTCCGGGGCACCGTCGCCCCCGCTCGCTGCTAGCCGGGTTCCGCACCACTGCCCGGAGCCGCCGCCGAAGGGAGTGCGGGGCAGGGCGCAGACAATGGCCGCGCGGGGCCGGGAGCGCGGGGCACCGGGACCCGGCACCGGTACCGGACGCGGGAGGCGCCCGCAGCCGAGCCCCGCTCCAGGCCCTGCGCGGGAACGCGGGCCCGGTCGCCGGGCGGAGCGGAGCACGGGCTGGCCGGCCCGGCCGCCTTCCTTCTCTCCGTCCTTTAGCAGAAAAGCCAGGGCTTCCCCGGTCTGGGACTGCTTCTCCCTTGTGTTGCGATCACCCTTTGGTGGCATCTCGATTTGATTTGAAAAGGGAGACCGAGCTAGGGAAAAGGTTGAATTGGGGCCGAAGCGAGGCGATCGGGGTGACCCCTCGGGATCTCGGCTAAGACCGCCAGCCGAGGACGGGGCTCATGGGGGAGCAAGTCGACTGGACAGCCGAAAAATCCGGGGGGCCTCATTTCCGGCTCGAGCTACTCTTGGTTTCAATGGATCACCATACAAATTATGAAACAGTCCAACCACGTTTTGCCTTTGTTATGTGGGTGCTGAGCTTAAGTGTAGTTTTGGAGGATATCCGATGCTAAACCGGTTCTAGTGATCGGAATATTTACCATTGATTATTCGAGACCATGTGCAAACAATGAAAACGCGTTTATTTCCTGTTTATTGCAGCCATGGCTCTAAAAGGACAAGAAGATTATATTTACCTTTTCAAGGATTCAACGCATCCAGTGGATTTTCTGGGTGCATTCAGAACATTTTACGTGGATGGATTATTTACTGATATTACCCTTCAGTGTCCTTCAGGCATAATCTTCCGTTGTCACCGAGCTGTTTTAGCCGCTTGCAGCAATTATTTTAAGGCAATGTTCACAGCTGACATGAAAGAAAAATTTAAAAATAAAATAAAACTCTCCGGCATCCACCATGATATTCTAGAAGACCTTGTCAATTATGCATACACTTCCCAAATTGAAATAACTAAAAGAAATGTTCAAAGCTTGCTGGAAGCAGCAGATCTGCTACAGTTCCTTTCAGTAAAGAAGGCTTGTGAGCAGTTTTTGGTAAGGCACCTGGATATTGATAATTGCATTGGAATGCACTCCTTTGCAGAATTTCATGTGTGTCCAGAACTAGAAAAGGAATCTCGGAGAATTCTGTGTTCAAGGTTTAAGGAAGTGTGGCAACAAGAAGAATTTCTGGAAATCAGCCTTGAAAAGTTTCTCTTTATCTTGTCCAGAAAGAATCTCAGTGTTTGGAAGGAAGAAGCTGTCATAGAGCCAGTTATTAAGTGGACCGCTCATGATGTAGAAAATCGAATTGAATGCCTGTATAACCTACTGAGCTATATCCACATAGGCATAGATCCACTGTACTTAAAACAGCGTTAGGCCTTCAAAGAACCTGCCTACTAACGGAAAATAAGATACGCTCTCTAATATACAACGCCTTGAATCCTATGCAGAAGGAGATTTCCCAGAGGTCCACAGCCACCATGTACATCATTGGAGGCTATTACTGGCATCCTTTATCAGAGGTTCATATATGGGATCCTTTGACAAATGTTTGGATTCAGGGAGCAGAAATCCCAGATTATACCCGAGAGAGCTATGGGGTTACATGTTTAGGACCCAACATTTATGTAACGGGAGGCTACAGGACAAACAACACGGAAGCTCTTGACACAGTGTGGATATATCACAGTGAAAGTGATGAATGGACTGAAGGTTTACCGATGCTCAATGCCAGGTATTACCACTGTGCAGTCACCTTGGGAGGCTGTGTCTATGCCTTAGGTGGTTACAGAAAAGGGGCTCCAGCAGAAGAGGCTGAGTTCTATGATCCATTAAAAGAGAAATGGCTTCCTATTGCAAACATGATTAAAGGTAAGTCTCGATTTTGTTTATCCTGTATTTTTTTAGATGCCTGGAGTTAGGTCAGCAGTCTCACTTCCCTTGCAAGTAACTTTAAAAAGAATTTATTGGCCGGGAGTGGTCACACATGCCTGTGGCCCCACCTACCCAGGAGGGAGGTAGGAAGATGGCAGCCAGGACACAAGGGGGAGACCCCATCTGAAAAACAAACTAAAAAAACCCAAAAGGGCTGGTGGAGTGGCTCAAGTGGTAGACCGCCTGCCTAGCCAGCATGAGGCCCTGAGTTTAATCTTCAGTACTGGAAAAAAAAAAAAAAAGATCAGTTTGGGATGTTCTCCAGGAACCGTAGTTAAGATTAATGTTGCACACAATAGGGTAGTCCTAACTTATCTGAAAGTCATGTCATTAAAGAATGTTACTCAAGCTAGAATTTATATAAGGAAATAATATCATTCTACTTACCCTGTATCTTTTATTCAGGTCTTCCCTAGATTGTGCTTCAAGTATTAAGAATACATATTTAACTCAAATGACGAGACAAACCTGGTTAGCTTTATTAATTTGTGTTTTAATATTTTTAAACTTGTTCTTAAAATCAGACCCTTTCAATTCTTTTTTACCAGGTTTTTTGTTTTGTTTTGTTTTGTTTTTTTGAGACAGGGTCTTGCTGTGTAGCCCAGGCTGGCCTTGAACTCATGATCCTCCTGCTTTTGTCTCCCAAGTACTGGATTATAGATGTGCCCATCATGCCTGGCCCTTCAGTTCTACCTTTTACCCAACATACTGGTCATCTCTCAACAAGTCCTTCATTAAAATTTTGGAAGGTTTAGTCTCTACAGGATGTCACAAAAGACATTTACCTCAGGATTGGAGATGAATTATTTCTGCTTTTTTGTGATGTAGGCTTGCCCCTTCGAATAAAGGAGAGAGGCAGATACCATAGCTTTCCTCACGTGGCCCACACAGCCAAGCCCATGGCTGGATGTCAGTATCTGTCTGATAAATGTGTACTTTCTCTTTTGCTTGGGGATATTATTAGCCTCGCTGTCCTTCCCTCCCACTGGAAAAATAGTCATACTTAATGCATTACATTTATTCACTGGTGCTGGGGACTTGTACAAAAACAGCTGGTAGATTGTTACCAAATTTGTGTCATTTTGTCCAAAATGTTTCTTCCCAGGCCTTTCTGTTTCTTTTTTAACACTAGCGAGGGTGTGGGAATGTGACCTGCTCTGGAAATCTGACCTGGTGTGATCTTTGGACACCAGCAGGAAGCCGGAAGGCAGAATGGTTTGGGGATTAGGTACACTGCTTCAGAAGCTACACTGCCTGGGTCCAAACCCCAACTTTCTACTTCCTGGTGAGCGGGGCCAGATTGTTCAGTGTGTCTTGGGCCCCAGTTTTACCGTCTATCTGATGGGGATGACATTACATGGTTTAGAGTCATTGAGAGGATTAACTAAATTTGTGAAGCACCTAGAACAGTGTGTGGCACAGAGTGACTCCTCAGAAAATGTTAGGCCCTATTGCCATGAACGTCAACTTTGACAAGGTAGAGATGTCTTTCATATTAAACAGGACCACTCCCATGCAGGTCTGCAGGTGCAGCGTTGGTTGGTAGGGTGGGGGAAAGCAGCAGAGAGCCCGTTGCTGTTGCTTCTCTGGCTTTGCCTGACCTTGACCATCACGAACTGATGTGGAGGATGGTGCTGAGTGCCTACTCCTCTCATATAAAAGAAACAAGAAAAATCCAAATATTTTAGCAACTATTCTTTTATTATTATTTTGGTAGTACTGGGGTTTGAACTCAAGGTCTCATGCTTGTTAGGCAGGCACTTTTACCACTTGAGCCACTCCACTAACCCTTTTTTGTGATGGGTTTTTTCAAGATAGAGTCTCGAACTATTTGCCCAGGGCTGGCCTCGAACAGTGATCCTCCTGATCTCTATCTCCTGAGTAGCTGGGATTACAGGTGTGCGCCACCAGCACTCGAATGTAAACCTGGACATGTTTCTGCTTCTGTTTCTCAATGGTGAGATAAGTGTCAATGATTTTGTAGTTTAGAGTACATTTCTTTGTGGATGGAAGTTTATTACTTCATTGAAACTTTGAAAATTATATTTCAAACAATGCTTGATGAAAAGAAAATGCTTTAAGTGTGTATCAACCTAGAAAGAAAGCCATATATGTTTTTGCCTTAAATTTGGTTGAATGGGAGACCCCCCCAAACCCACAAAACTTCCCCCGACCTGCCAGCTGGGCTTGAAATTCTAGAGATTTATTCTTCTAATTTGAGCTTTTGATCCTTGTTTTGATCTGGTCAACCCGGGGAAGGCTAACACGCAGTCAGTTTTGTGAAGTTTTGACTTGTACTGTTCCAATGGGTAGACTCATACCAAAATTTCCCAGTTTTTCTAGAAAGGATAATATTATTTTTTCTTGGTTTGTTTTATTTTGTAGTCATGAAGTATATTATCTCTCTGGTAAGGAAGGTTTAATTTGGGTGACGTAAAATTTCAAATTCATTTCCTTTTTTGGTTTAGGAAGAGGATGTACAGAGAAGAAATAAACACTGGCTGCCTTGGAACCTTTAAGTCTTTCTTTTTTCATCATAACTGTCTTGCTTATAAATTTACTTTTACTTTGAAGTTGAAATGAAAAGGAGATAAAACTGCCACAGACACAGACAGTGCTAATGAAAGTTGGTTGAAAGACCAACTGGATGCTCTCAACCCAAGTGAGCCTCTCATCATTTCTCTCCTCCTCGTCCCCCACTGGACCGATTTCCTCCTCCTCCTAACTTCTCTGTGACATCAGGGTCTCCCAGTTTTCCCAGCTCAGGACCTCACAGTCAGTCTTGTTTGTCTTGGACTCAGCCAGGTGTCTGTCCTGTTCCTCCACACGCAAAGCCCTTTCTAAGTCAAAAAACTCTGTTTCTCACCTAGCCCAACACTGATGTCTTTCTGACTCCTCTCCTCCTTCCTTTTCAGTCCCTACCTTCTTTTATTTAAAAAGTCCTGTGGAATTAAGTCCATGTTTTTAGGGGAGCACAGGGTCTTTTGCCATGTGCTTCAAGTTACTGTACCAGCCTTAATTCCAATGTGACAATTTCCAGTGTGCCAACCATCCTAGTCAAACTGGACCACTTGACATTGCCCAGGAAGCCTTTCTGCTGGCCTTTCTTCTGCTGAGCTTTGCTGTCACCTCTGCTTGCCAAATCCTCCTACCAAGGCCCACGTCAAATTCTGCCACCTTCTGCTAGGCATTCCCTAGTCAAAAGCAATGTCTTGTTGCTCTTCCAATTCATTATAGTCTGCCTCCTTTTTTGTGATACCTTTTCCATTCTGTAACTATGTTCTGATTATTTCTCACTCTCTTAAAACAGCACGAGAACATTTCCTTTTTCCTTTGTATTCCTCATGGCACCTAGCACTGTGCCTTTCATCTACCCTCAGTAACAACAAAACCGTAAGAAACTTAACTCAGTAGTCATCCAAAAAGGAATGAGCAATCTAAATATGTGATTTTCCTTTTCTTTTCCCCTATAGCACTAGGGCTTGAACTCAGGGCCTCATGCTTGCTAGGCAGGCACTTTTACCACTTAAGCCAGTCTGCCATACCTAAAGATGTGATTTTAATTGGCACACAGGTGTGGGAAATGCTACTGCCTGTGTCTTACATGAAGTTATCTATGTCATTGGCGGCCATTGCGGCTACAGAGGAAGCTGCACCTATGACAAGGTGCAGAGCTACAATTCAGACATCAATGAGTGGAGCCTCGTCACCTCCAGTCCACACCCAGGTAACAAAATACCATCTCAAATCATGTATGTCCCGATTCAGTTCATCAGCATAAGGGATAGCTAAGAATGGATGGAAAAAGGAAATGCTAATTTTATAGTAGACCACATTTTAACAGCTCAAAATAGCTATCCATTTACAATAATCATAATTAATTCTGATTACATTATATCTACAAACATTCCTCTGATGTCTTTATGCAATATATTTTAAACCTGTGTGTTTGAAAGTGATTCCTTTCTAACTTTTTTTCACTTATGTTCTTTTTTTTTTTTTTGGTGGGATTGGGATTTGAACTCAGGGCTTTATACTTGCAAAGCAGGCACTCTACCTTTTGAGCCACACCTGCAGTCCATTTTGCTCTGGTTGTTTTGGAGATGGGGGTCTCAAAAAGTATTTGCCCTGGCTGATATCAAACCATGATCCTCCTGATCTCAGCCTCCCAAGAGCCCAGCACTTGTGTTCTTTTTTTGTGTTCCCTTTTCCTTTGTTATGTGCTTTCTTTCATTTACTACATGCATTACGCAAAGCACAGTTTATTATAGAGTTCAAAAACACTAGTCTGTCCATCAGCTATGAGGAGCAGTACCTGGAGATTGAAGGTCAGCAGGAGGTTATTTTTGTCTTAGAAGTGTGTTCTTTCTGGGTTCCAATTATGTTAAGCACTGATTCCTAGGTGTCGCAGAGACATACGTTGATATTATCTCAACAGTCATAAAGGAGAACGAATGACCTGCCTCCTGTGATGACTTCTTCTCTGACTTGTCTCTGGAAAGCGCTCAGGGGGAGCATAGTGTTAGCCTGTTGCAGGGCCTGGCTTCAAGCTCAGCAGTGGAGCATGTGCATAGCATGTGTGAGGCCCTGGATTCAACCCCCAGCATGAGGAAAAAAAGTTTTTAGCCTGTTATAGTTACGTCATATGTTTAAGATTTTTTTCATTAGGGAAAATTCATATCACGATGTCATCATATTATTTTGAATCATTTTTCTGTAGAGCATCAGGGTTTCACAGGGCTCACTGGAGAGGGCTTGAACCATCTGAGGACAATAGTAATGGCTGACTTTCTTGAGTACATACTGTTCTCTTTGCAGGTACTATCTTAACTCCTTCTGCAGCTCTGTGAGCAGGTGCAGTGGAGGCTTACTAACTTAGAACAGACAACTAACTTTCCTGCGGTCACACAGTTTGAGAGTAGTGGAGCAGGATCCACATTCTAACAGTCTTGACTCCAGAACCTGAGCTGTGGCCACTAAACAAGCAATCTGCCTCTCCTTAAGAGAGCAGACGTCCTGCTTTTGGCCCAGGGAGCTGTTTCCACTTCATACGTCAGCTCTCTCATCTTGTGACTCAGGTGGAGCACACCAGAGTCTGCTACTGCATGTCCACATGCCACAGGCTTTTTGCATAAGAAGAAATTCAGCTATCAGCTGCCCTGGTACTGACCACATCATAGAATGTGTGAACTTTGATCTAGTAGTTCAGATATACACCATAGACTCTCCTCCACTTTCTGTTGTGGCCGATGAAATTATAGTGGGGAGTAATGATAGGTCACGCTGAGTAATAGCTAGTATTTACTCAGTATGTGCTAGGCACTACCTATCCCAATAATTTTATTTATATTAATTTGTTTGTACTTGCCAGCTTTGTGTTACTACAATAGGATACCTGAGGAAATGAACGTATAAAGAAAAAAGGTTTATTTAGTTCACAGTTTGGAGGTTCAAATCCAAGATTGGGTGGTTCATTGGTTTGGCCTCTGATGAGAGCACTGGGATGGCAATGGATGGCTGGGGCACATGTCAGAGTAGGTGGTCACCTCAGAGCCAGGAAGCAGAGTAAGAGAGGACTGGCATGCCCCTGATGACCTAAGGACTTCCCATATGGCCCCAGTTCTTAAAGGACCATAGTACCTCCCATGCCACCTTGGGACCAGGTCTTTACATATAGCCCTTTGGGGGACACTAGCCACATCCAGACTGCAGCATTATTTAAACGTCATACTAACTCTGTAAGATAGGCAGGAACTGTTATTTTACAGGCCACTGAGGGACAGTGACATTAAGTAAACTGCCCAAGGTTAGCCAGCTAGTGCCTATTAGAAGTGAGGTGCCATCCCAGACAGTCTGCTTGGCACCAACCCTTCATCTCATTATGTCTTTCAAAACTCATGTTACCACCTTATCGTTAGGTATTACTTTATTTTGTGGTCAGCCTTTATCTTTCCAAAGAATATCCAATACATGAAAAACCAGAGTGACAAATTAGAGGACAGTTTTTACACAGTAAAATCAATATATATTTCAGCCAGGTGCCGGTGGCTTACACCTGTAATCCTAGCTATTCAGGAGGCAGAGATCAGGAGGATCACAGTTTAAGGCCAGCCCAGGCAAATAGTTCCAAAGACCCTATCTCGAAAAACCCAGCACAGAAAAAGGCAGTGGAATGGCTCAAGGTGTAGGTCCTGAGTTCAAACCCCAGTAACAAATATATTATATATATATATAATATATATAATATATTTGGTAAGGAGATTCCTTTAAAAATAACTATCCTATAACATATATAAGCTACATATAGCTTATTAATTACTTGAAAAAGAGTCTAAAAGGCAGTGTGACTTGAAAGTAGTATTAGTAGCTGTGGAAATTGAAAATCAATCCAAAAAATTAAATTATAGCATAAATCAATAGGAACAGACAATTGCACTTACAGAGTTTTAATTTACATTGAACTTTTTTCATGTAGTATTAAAATGTATATTAAATTGGCACACTGAGATATACTGTTTGGCTTTCACAGGGCTTAAAATATTTTTAACCTGTCTTGTTAATAAAATTTAAAATTCAGGAGATTTCAAATAAAAATTGTGATTTCTGGCCTTTAAAATAATTAGGTTTGGTAGCGATCACTGGAGCCAAGTAATAGCTGTCATTGTGACATGAGACTTCCATTCTCCATTTCACCCAGTACCTCTAGTTCTGGTTACATCACAGATCAGGGCCTGTGCTGTTGTTTTTCTTACTCCTGGCCTACTTCACTCAGCCAGTCTATGGTCTCCTTCAGCTCTTGAAGGCATTTGCATCTGCATCCGTTGAAATATAGCCAAAGATGCGTTTTTGTTGTTGTTGCTAGGGAATCTAACCCAGGGCCTCACATAATCACACCACTGAGCCAGAACCTCAGACCATGCAAGGTCTGCTTCTTACGCACTTTGGTGACACCGCCTGGGGAGTGCAAAATAGTGTCCTTGAGTCTGTCTGATACAGATACATAGCCTAGACTGGGAGGAAATGACTGCTGATATTTTCAAAGGGTAATATAAATGTTGTCTTTGATCTTAACCCCTTAATGGGTAGGTTTGTATAATTGAAAAATATGGAACTTTAACGTCATTAAATTCAAGATAACATTTATTATTGTTCATATTTTCTTTGTGTGCCTGTGTGTGTGTATCTGGTGCTTGGGGTGGTACTCAGGGCCTGTGCATGCTAGGCAAGTGCCTTGTCACTGAGCACATCCCTGGCCTTTCAGGTAATGTTGATTAGGATACCCTACACTGGGAGAGGAGTATTCTAGTGATTTTGTAAGACATAAATGTGATTAAGTGCTACTCTACCTCCACAGGAACTCAGGATGGAGTAGCAAGTATACGTACTTACCAGAAATATCAGTCAATCTTTAGTTAAAGTTGTATGCAAATAAGTGCTATTGAATTTTAATAGAGGCCAGCAGGCATGGTGGCTCATGATTGTAGTCCCAATTACTCAAGCAGTAGAAATCAGAAGCATGGCAGTTCTCGGCCACTCTGAGCAAAAAGTTACCAGTACCCCATCTCAACAAACAAGCCTGCGATTGGTGGTGTGGTGCATGCCAGTAACACCTGCTACACAAGAGATGTAGGTAAGAGAATTATGGTCCAATTACATCCCTGGGCAAAAAGTGCCAGAGTCTATCTGAAAAATAACTAAAAAACAAAAAGGGCTGGAGGCATGGTTCAGGTGGTAGAGCACTGGCCCACTTGCCTAGAAATCTGAGGTCCTGAGTTTAAAGCCCACCAAGAGGAAGGAGGGAGGGAGGGAGGGAAAGAAAGAAGGAAGAAGGGAAGAAAGAAAAAGGAGAAGGGAGGGGAGGGAAATTAGACTCAAGAGCATAAGTCTAACTAAGGGAAATCTGGAAATCTTAGTATAGTTCCAGAATTAAAGAATGACCACAATTAAGGAAGGCAGGTTTTGAGGAAGGGTTTGTCTGCAGGAAGTCAGTTCAGTAAGGCAGGCAGAAGGGAAGGTTGCAGGTATATTCTATTAGGTGGGGGTAGACATGAATGAACAGGTCGGAAGAGGGGAGAAAGGAAGATAGTATGGAAGGCTTCAGTTTGGGAGCATATCATGGAGGCCTTTGAGTGGCAGTTTGGAGAATTTAAAAAATGGAAACCCATCGAAGCTTTCAGACATTAATTTGTGATCAGTGTGTATGTGTCGCTGAGGATGGACACCCATGGCCTCATGCGTGCCAAACTTGCACTTTCCTACTGAGCTACACCTGCAGTCTCCTCAGTTCTTATTTTAAGATGAGAACTCCTGCTGAGTGTGGTGGTGCATACTGTAATCCCAGCATTTGGGAGGCTTAGGCAGGAGGATCAAGAGTTTGAGGTCAGTTTAGGCTGTGTCGTGAGACCCTGTATGTAGAAGATGAAGAAGAGTGCCTTTCAGAGTAAGTTGTGAAAAAGGCAGAAAGCAGGGAGATTTGCTAAGAATATAATAACAAACTGGGTGAGAAACACCGGCAGCCTGATGAAGTGGTAGGAGGAGAAAAGAGGGTCAGATGTGAGGAATGTTACAGATTAAACAGCTGGTTGTTTCCTTGGTAGATTGAGGGAGAGAAAGGAGTTGACAGTAATCCCCGGACCACAGGTAGTTGCATGGGAGGATGGAGAGAACAGAAGGAGCCACCCAAGGGGGAGAAGAGGAGAGATGATGTACTCTGTAGTGTAGGGCTGAAGAACTCTGGGTGACCCAAAAGTGCTGCATACAGAGATGAGGGATTGTGTGTTTGGGTGATGGCTGAGTGTGAGGATGAATGAGATGCCTTCCTGGCGAGGACCAGCAGGATGGCTGTGGGCAGAGCGTTGGCAACCAGGCTAAACTGAGGGATGAGCTCAGGAAGGAGAAGGCGGGAAGAGCAGGAAGGGGCAGCTCCTGATAGGGGAGGAGCACCTGTATGCAGAGCATTCTCTCCTGGCTCTGCCATTTAGTACCCACCTAACTTTGGGCAAGAGGGTTAGGCTGCTGACCTTACTTTCCAGGAAGGAAAGACGTCAGATTCCATAAGCCTTACGGTCCTTTCAGGGGCAAAACTCTTAGAGCAAAGAAAATGAGATCAATTCACTTGGTTTGCCTCCGAATCCCAATGTTGCCTTGGTTGTATACCATGGAAAACTGAATACAGACACCGTGAACTTGTGTTTGGTATCTGAGTGTAAATTCTTGGAGCCGTGACAGGTAGCATCATTCTCACGCGTGATTTGAAATTGTTCATTCGTTCATCATTCATTTGTCAAACAGACATTTGCCGAGTGCTGCTTATGTTTTCTTACGTACGTTGTGCCCGGAGCACAGCAGACATGACACAGTCCCTTGGCTAAAGGGACTTAGCCAACTCCCTTACAGTTGTTGACTGACAAGAAAAAAAAAAGGCAGTTACAGCTGAGGAAGAATTCCATCAACAGTAACAGACACCCAAAAAAACTAGATAGCATTTGTTGCCCTCAACACAGAAACTAATGCAGATACTTTAAGGGGACAGAGGCCAATAGGAGAAGGGGACCAGGAACTAGAGAAAAGATTAGTTTAAGAAGAATTAACCTAGAAGGTAACCACATGCACAGGAAAGCAATGCGAGTCAACTCCCTGTATAGCTATCCTTATCTCAACCAGCAAAAACCCTTGTTCCTTCCTATTATTGCTTATACTCTCTACAACAAAATTAGAAATAAAGGCAAAATAGTTTCTGCTGGGTATTGAGGGGGTGGGGGGCAGAGGGAGGGGGCGGAGTGGGTGGTAAGGGAGGGGGTGGGGAGAAGGGGGGAGAAATGACCCAAACATTGTATGCACATATGAATAAAAAAAAATTAAATTAAAAAAAAAACAGTAACAGACTTTTTGATTTTAGATAACAAAAGAAAAACTATTAGGAATTGCTTTATTTTAAACATTTTTGTTGCTAAAAGAAGATTGAGGATTTTCTTGGTGAACTTTTAATAAGTTAAGAACCTATTCAAATTTCAAACTTCAACTTGTTCAAACTTTGAACTTTGAACAAGATGAGAAAGGCCTAGTAATCTCATTGTTGAATTCCACCAACTGAACCATTATTAATTTTCTAATAAGCATTGATGGGAATGATTAATTTATGTAAGCAATGTTTCACAAGTACTTAAAACAACTAATCCTATAAAAATTCTACATCTGTCTAACCAGGGACTGGGTATAGTGGTGTAAACCTATAATCCTAGCTACTTGGGAGGTGGAGATCAGCAGCATTGTGGTTTGAGGCCAGCCCTGGCAAAAAGTTAATGAAACCATATTTTCAAGCTGGGTGTCTCATCTGAGGCCAGCCCTGAGCAAAAACACGAAACCTATATGAAAAATAATCCAAAGCAAAAAAGGGCTGGGGATGTGATTCAAGTTGTAGAGTGCTGGCTTAGCAACCATAAGTCCCTGGGTTCAAACCCCAGTATTACCAAAAGCAAACAAACAAAAGAAAAGTAGAATTCTTATTTTCTTGGATGTCAGAAGCTTGAGAATATTATGTGGAGTCAAAGTAAAAATTCCTGTCTTCTGAGACTTTCCTTAGCCGTCTAACCTATCCAGCAGGTGCCGTACTGAGAAGACAGTGTCTTCCATTGTTAAAGGAGATCACATCACTGATTGCACTTTCTTCCATACCATGGTGTGGGCTCATATTCACATTTGTTTGTCAAACAAGGATGTATGGAATCCTTACAAAGTGCCAGACACTGGTCATTCTCCAGCTGGGAGTGGAGTGTGGCACAACTCCTACATCGCTAGGAGGGCGAGAGACATGGAGCAAGATGCATTTGGGTAATGAGAGTCTGCAGAGAGAATTAAAACATGGTGATGTGGTAGAGGTGCCTGGCTGGCCACCACAGGTCAGATGGCCAGGGAAAGCCTCTGAGGTGGTACTAAGGTAAGACCTGAGCGACAAGAAGGCAGAAGGAGCAGCAATGCCATTGGCAGTTGCAATGCTACTGACAAACCTTCTTCTTTGAGGGCTGCAGTTAGGAGTGTGTCAGTGTGACTTTATGGTTGCTACTCCCAGAAAATGAGTTAACAGGAAGAGGCTAGGAATGATGTTAAAAGGGGATGTGGAGGAAACAGGGGAGGGACGAGGGTGTGGCACAGAAGATGTGGGAGGCACTGTTTAAGGAGTCGCTCAGTGACCCCGGGAGTGATGCCTGCCTATGCTTTGTACCTTGTCACAGCTCTGAGAAGTAGAGGAAGTGGAGTTGTGAAACAGTGGGGTGCCTTGACGAGCCAGCAGGTTTGAGCGTGGAGGAGACTTCCAACCGCAGGACCCAGATCCCACAGCACCCTCTGCTCTCAGACGCCTTTCATAGCATCTGGGTCTGAGGATGGGGTACTGCTGTCACCTGGCTGTGTGCTTCTCTCACTTCCGGCATCCTTACCAGGACCAGCAGTGTAAAAGAAGCTAGCTAAGCCATCGTGTGACAGTTGACACTACAGATTGCCTAGCCCTGGTTACAGGACAGCTGTTGAGACCTGGAGGAACCTACACTAGTTAACTACTGTGTTGTCCTGTAAGGAGGACGCAGCCACTGCCCTCTTTCAGACAGGTGTCAAATAAAAGCAATCCTGAAGGATGGTAGTCTGAGGGATGACTTCTTGTCATCCTGCAGAGCCAGTTTAAGAGCTGACATAGTATCCTTTCCCCTGAGAGATAATGGCTGAGTGGTGCTAACAGGTGATTGGAATCAAATGGTTGGGGTTGGATTTTAAGCCTCAGTATGAGGTTGTGTGTCCCAATCAAAATGCCCCCACTACTCTATTTGTGTGTGCTAAATTGTAAAGGACCGTTACATCTCCACACTATGGTAGCTCTTTGTGTTTTTGCTTTTGGTGGTACTGGGGTTTGAACTCGAGCCTCACACTTGCAAGGTAGGCTCTCTTATCTCTTGAGTGCCTTCACCAGCCCATTTTTGTGATGGGTTTTTTTCAAGATAGGGTCTCAGAAACTGCAATCCTCCTGATCTCTGCTTCCTGAGTAGCTAGGATTACAGGTAAGTCACTGGCACTGGCTTTACAATAGTTCTTGTGTTTGTTGTCCTAATAAAAATTTGCTCTTTTTTCTTTTCAAAAAGAATATGGATTATGCTCAGTTCCGTTTGAAAACAAGCTATATCTCGTGGGTGGACAAACTACGATCACGGAGTGCTATGACCCCGAACAGAACGCATGGAGAGAGGCAGCACCCATGATGGAAAGGAGGATGGAGTGCGGGGCTGTCACCATGAATGGGTGCATCTATGTCACCGGAGGGTACTCCTATTCAAAGGGGACATACCTCCAGAGCATTGAGAAATACGACCCAGACCTTAATAAGTGGGAAATAGTGGGCAGCCTTCCAAGTGCCATGCGGTCTCATGGATGTGTTTGTGTGTATAACGTCTGATTGAATCTACAGGCTTGACCAGGTCCTCACTGTGTGGAGTATAGTAAAAAGAATGCAGCATTTGGAGTCCCTTACTTGTTACTGTGGTTTGCCCCATGACAGGGGATTGACAAATTCTAATTCCTATAATCCTACCCATTCCAAACCCAGTGATGAATGATCAAGAAAAATCTTATGGAGATGTACAGTTGAATCAGTGGGGTTAACCTCTATAATCTCTGCTTTTCAAAGATAGTATGGAATAGCTGACACTTGGTAAAAGGTGAAGTATCTTGGAGTGAATATTTTCTTCCTGGTAGCATCAACACTGGGTACAGGTCAAAGTCATTCTATGTAACAAGATACCTTTAAAGAGCCTGTGATATAATAGATAGTGTATACTAAGGTTCTATTTAGCTAGCAGGAGTTTAAAATTTAAAGAGGGAATCTTCTCTACTTCTGTAAAATGAACACTTAAAAATTTTTCCCCTTAGAACTATGTAGATTGTGGACTTTAAGTACAGTTTTTTTCCTTCGTAAGTGTATGTAATTTATTGTTACTATTCTTTTCTTACTGACTACCAAGATATGCAAAATCCTGTGCAAAAGATTATTACTGTTCAAAGAGTTTACAGACTAAATTTGAAAGAATAGCAGGTATAAAAGCTGCAGAGAAAATAGTCAAGTGTTTGCTAAGGGCTATTTTCAATTTTCAGCTATGATATCAATTGCTAATTTAGTTGTATTTAGTTTACGCGTGTTGGGAAGGTTCTCTTTTTAAAGGATAGTTACATATCTGCATATAAAATTGAAGTTTAGAGCCGGAAAGCGTGTAGATCAATTGTGATATAGTAGAAAATACACTGACGAGAAGAACTTGACCTTCATTTCCCAGCTCTACCACTAACTAGATTTCGTGACTTGAGTCACTGAACCTGTCAGTGACTGGAGCTTCCTAACCATGCACACTATCACTGTGGATCTTAGATGTGTCTGGATACAGACCCTCAATGCTTGTAACCAGGGGAGGCCTGGGTCCATTGTCTCCTGTTTGCCTACGGGGTCACCTCCCATATGTGCCACAATTTGAGAGAAGTTGGGAAACGCTGCTTATGTTAGCTCATCTAAACTTTTAGTTACCTGAGGCCAGCTGTACTGTACTCTTTTTTTTTTAAGAGACAATAACTGTTTTTCACTTTAAATACTGAAGTTTTACACTACTTCTGATTTTAAAAAATCTTTTAGAAAGACACTAATACATTCATTTCAGATGGCATTTTAAGTAGCTGCAATCCTTCAAGGAGGCCATATGGCACTACATAGTAGGGGCTGTAAAAACAACCATATCCTTTGCCCCTAAACTCATATATTTTTAAACTAAAGAATAATAACAGGAAAAGGTAAATGTATGAGAATGTTTGTGTCTGCATTATTTATAATAGTAAAAAATTGGAAAATTTTACATGTAAAAGGAGAAAGTGGGCTAATAAAAGTAATGATGTATACTGCTGTGACTAATTATTTGAAAGACTGTGGAAACATGGATGTGTCTGTGATAAGCAAATAAGCACAATACAAAATAGTATACACATGATGATTGTGAGTGTAACATCTTCATGCATGTGGGAGGTAATATGCAAAGTACATTTGTTGTGTTCGTGTAAGGGAATACGGAATGTTTTTTAATTTATTTAAATCTTTAATATTACTTTGCATTTTCAATAAAAATAAATCACTGTATATGACTAAGACTGCTTGATTTGGGCAAATTGGTTGAAGGACAGTCTGAATTTGTGAAACAAATTATAGACTATTTTAATCTTTAGTTATAGATTAATTTATTGTTCTTAAGAACATTTAGCAATTAATAGTAGACTAATAATATGTGGCCCAGTAGTGTTTTAGAAGTCTGTCTTTTGGAGAGATGAGAACAGTTGTAACCACCTTCTCCTCCTTCATCAGCTTATCACTTCCAACCTCTGGGAATTTTTTCCTGAAAGTTTCATCCTTAGTGAAACTTCCATTGTCTCACTTAGAGTGTTGATTGTTTTGAATGCACACTACATCTCTTGCCAGGTTTGACATCATGGACCACATATTATTCTTAGTACTCCCAAGGTTCTGCCACTTTAGATATATATGTACCTTATTTTTTGAAGGACAGTACTACAAATTATTTTTATAAAAAGCATAACATCTGGAGTGCTTGCTTAAAGGCATATTAACCTTGACTTTCCAGTCCCAGCAAGCATATCTCTGTGTCATGAACTCAATGTTTGTGTTTTCCCAAAGTTCTTATGTTGAAGCTCTAACTCCATGTGACTGTATTTGGACATAGGGCAAATACTGGAAGTAACTGAAGTTATGTGAGGTCCTAGGGGGTGGGGCCTTCATCCAATAGGATGTGTCCTTACAAGCAGAGAGCCAGAAAGCCTGCCTGTACGTGCACTTGCTTTCACTGCCCCTCCCCTCCCCTTCAACACCCACCCCAAACTCAGCCATCTTGGGCTTCTGGCTTCCAGAACTGAGAAAGTAAGTTTAAGCCTCCCAGTGTATGGTGTTGTGTCATGGCAGCCTGAGCTGATGAATGCAGCCTGCAAAGGATATAGGCCTTTAGATGATGTAGTTTAGGTGCTGGATCAGATAGTAGAAGATAAACTGTCCCACAGACAACCATTCCTCACCCCACCACATGTGCAAAGCCAAACCATCTATTTTATTAGCCTGCAGATCTAGAAATCCAGCTTCATTTCTGCAGGCACTGTACACACAACTTTGAGTTTCTGTCTTCCTCACAGCGGTCCTCTCAAAGATGGAGTCTGCTGATGGTCTGCATTCTTTCCTGTGGAACAAGGGGGCTTGGACAGTCCACATCTCATCCCCAGCCTCAGAGGAGTCCGGAGCTATGACTGGCCAAGTGTCCTGATGGTTTGAGTGACAAGAACTGGTAGAGAAGGCATAGTAACTCGGAACAGGAGATACTGATGTCTTGCTTCTGGCCTTCTTACAGTTCCATCCCTGTCTTTTCCACACTTTGGTTATGAGAACCAACCAGTCCTGTTTGGTTTTGAATTGGGATTCTGTCTCTTGCAGCCAAAACAGCATAGACTAATGTCGAATAAAGTCGGCTCTGCAGAGTGCTTGCTCAGTGCCCATGAGATTCTGGGCTTGATCCCCAGCACTGCAAAGTAAAAGGGTACATTCAGTGGTGTGTACATACACAAAGTCTGTATACAAAAAAGGGAAAAAAAGAGGTGCTTTGTCTCTTTTTAAATTTAAATATTTCTGGAAAGTATTATTTTTCATCCTTTAACAAGATTGCTACAAACTTGGAAGTCTGAACCAATATAAGCTTCTTACAATTCTTTGGGATAGAAGTGTGGCTTAATTTCACTGTGTCAATTTTAGCAACCTTAATTCTTTTTTTTTTCCCCTTCTTTTTTTGAAATGGGTTCTTGCTATGTAGCCTAGCCTAGTCTCAAACTGGAGATCCTCCCAAGTAACTGGGATTACGGGCATGTACCTCTGCACCTGGCTGAAACCTTAATGCTCCCTTGTCATGTAGCTTCATGTGCTCACAGGTTCTTCTGGAAGGAACATTTTCAAGGGGCCAAAATTCTTCTTACCATCAATAATATATTAAGTTTTATCGGGACTTCATCAATTCCATTTAGTTGAATTTATCTTGGGCTTTTCTGAGAGGAAATTCTGACAGAAGCAGGAAAAATCAAAACAAAACATGACAGGAGCCAGGCATGTGGGCACACGACTAGAATCCCAGCATTTGGGAGGCTCAGGCTGGAGGATCATGAGTTTAAGGCCATTCTGGCTATAGCAAGTTAGAGGTCTAGGAGATTGGTAGACTCAACATGGTAAAGACCTCATCTTTCTTTCTTTCTTTCTTTTTTTCTTTTATTCATATGTACATACAATGTTTGGGTCATTTCTCCCCCCTTACCCCCCCTCCCCCGCCCCCGATCCCCGCCCTCTCCTCCCCACTGCCCTTGCTACCAGGCTGAAACTATTTTGCCCTTATCTCTGATTTTGTTGAAGAGAGAGTACAAGCAATAATAGGAAGGAACAGGGTTTTTGCTAGTTGAGATAAGGATAGCTATACAGGGAGTTGACTCGCATTGCTTTCCTGTACATATGTGTGACATTCTAAATTAATTCTTGTCAAACTAACCTTTTCTCTAGTTCCTGGTCCCCTTCTCCTATTGGCCTCTGTCGCTTTAAAGTTTCTGCATTAGTTCTTTGCATTGAAGGCAACAAATGCTATCTAATTTTTTAGGTGTCTTACCTATCCTCATACCTCCCTTGTGTGCTCTCGCTTTTATCATGTGCTCAAAGTCCAATCCCCTTGTGTTTGCCCTTGATCTAATATCCACATATGAGGGAGAACATATGATTTTTGGTCTTTTGGGCCAGGCTAACTTCACTCAGAAAGATGTTCTCCAATTCCATCCATTTACTTGCGAATGATAGGATTTCATTCTTCTTCATGGCTGAGTAAAATTCCATTGTGTATAGATACCACGTTTTCTTAACCCATTCATCAGTAGTGGGGCATCTTGGCTGTTTCCATAACTTGGCTATTGTGAATAGTGCTGCAATAAACATGGGTGTGCAGGTGCCTCTGGAGTAACCTGTGTCACATTCTTTTGGGTATATCCCCAAGAGTGGTATTGCTGGATCATATGGTAGCTCAATGTTTAGCTTTTTAAGTAGCCTCCACATTTTTTTCCAGAGTGGTTGTACTAGTTTACATTCCCACCAACAGTGTAAGAGGGTTCCTTTTTCCCCGCATCCTCGCCAACACCTGTTGTTAGTGGTGTTGCTAATGATGGCTATTCTAAAGGACCTCATCTTTCTTAAGCTCAAATTTCAGTACCACCACCAAAAATAAGTCTATGTACTTTTTTTCTTATAATTTCTTTGCTAATCTTTAAATGTCACTCTGTATAGGACAACACAAAGTAATTCATAGTATCAAGTATTTCATACTAGAAATAGTTTTTACAGCTAAGAAATAAAACACTGAAAGACAAAAATATTTTCATAAAATTATAAAATATATTACTACTAATATTAAAGCTTCATTATCACAATGGTAAAGAACATAACTTATGAATGCTTTGCATTTGAAGAGTTCAGATAAAACTAATTCCATTGCCAAAAAATTAAATATTCTAATTTTTTATTGAAAGCAATAAATACATTATCACCACCTAACTACATAGTAATTCTTAGTAAAATCAGGGGAACATAATTATAAAAGTGCAAGAAAAGAGAAAATAATTTATAATGTAAAGTTCATGGACTATGCAGTAATGAATACATAATTTTCAGTGCAACCATCTCATAAATCAGGGGTCTTATCTTACCATCGTTATCTCTTACGTGGGTTTCGGTGGTATTTCACAAGTGTGACCTGTCAACTCTTTAGTCCTCTGAGTCAAACAGAAGAGTCCCTTTAGGGTCTCACCGGGGTAATGCTAACATCATGCTCAAACCCCTAGTAAATATGATAGATTCAAATTGGCTGTATCCTGAAGGTATTCTGGACTGGCTTACAGGAACAATCACTGTAAATTGTGCACAAGGATGGCGCCCTGCTGCGTACA